GAAGAGAAGAACCTGCTGAATCCTCTAGAGTGTTTCTCAGGAGTCAGTCCCGACGATGACGATGATGAGTTTGACTTTGTGTGTCTGTGTTTCGACCCTACCGGAGATCTCATTGTTTCTTTGTCTGAAGGTGAACTCAATTTGTTGTCTTGATGATTTGTGTATTCGTTGTCTTCTTCTTCATGGTTTAGGGTTTGTTCTTGACTTGGAGAAGAAGCAACCTGTTCTGTTTGAGGACACATGGATTTGAGTTGCTTCCCTAGAAGCAATATAGTCTCTTGACACTCTGCTAGTTTCTCTGCAGCAGCCGCTAGTTCATTGTCCTGTAAAACATTCAATGTCTTTAACTTTAACACCAAAATCTCTGGTAGATCAGAAATGGGTTTGTTTTGATTTTTGAAAGTTACCTGTTTGGTTTTAGGATCAGCTTCAGTTACTGAACAAGTCGGACAATTTTGGTTGTTCCTGAAGTTTTGTAGGAAAGACAAGTCAGTTTAATGCCAAAGATTACGCTAAAAAGAGTAATGTTTAGTTCAATATATATACCTTTGTAATTGCTCCTCGAGTTCTTGGCATTTGGTTAAAGCTTGGCGGTGATTTTCCTTTTCGTTTTGAAGCTCATCTTCCAAGTTTTCGATTTTGCCTTTAAGAGAAGTCAACTCGAGTTCAAGCTCCGATGATTTAGTTTCGAGAGATCGATAAGATTCCACCATGCATTTGAGCTGTGTCTCGGCCATGCCATTAGACTTCTGAGCTGATTCCAAATCTGATTTGACTTCATCAAGAATTTGCTCTGTTTCTTGTAGTTTGGACTTGGTTGCTTCAAGATCTGCTTCACAGTTTGCAAGATTGGTCTCTGCTTTTTCTTTCTCGAGTTTTAGTTCTTCAAATTCTTCTGATGTAAACTTACAAGCAGGTGCTGCTGCTACTGGTGCGAGCTTGGGTTCATAGCCAGATGTTCCGATGCAATCATCCGGAATATCGGAATCAGAGCTCTGAGAACAACCATTCTGGTAATGTTCACCTAATGAATCTTTCCGAAGTGCTTTGTTTTCCGGTAGAGCGACTTTATCGATGCAATCCGGACTGTGAATCTCCTCCACTTCGGATGTGTTAAATCCCAACACATCGATTTTCAGTTCACTAGCTTCGGTTAAAACTCGCGAAAGATCAAACAGAAAATCTACCAAAGTCTTCTCCTTGCCCAAGACTCTGTCGAATGTGACAGAGAACTCTTGAACTTTTCGAGAGAATGTGTCGTGACACGGCGTTGCTTCTTTCGAAAGGTAGGAAACAAATTGGTAAATCTGAGAAAGAGCATCAGCCAATTCTTGAGTTATTACCTCGACGATATTAACTTTTTCCTCTGTGGTCTCATTTGACATAGCTATTTCCTTTTCTTCTTTAAGACCGTTTACATTAGTTCCATTAGAAGTCAGCTTGACACCGCTACCTGCATCTTCAATGGCACATTGTATCTCAGCCAAAATCTTCTCAAATGCAGCATCTTTAGGGAGAGACTGAATCACAGTAGAGATTCGTTTCTTCAGTTGCGTCGCTGGTAGAATCTCAGCATCAGAATCAGCACTCGAGTGATCTGCGGAACCATTCGCCTTTGAGCCATTAGGTATACAAGCTAGCTTTTCCATTTCTAGAAAATCGTCCATAAGCTCCAACTGGTTAGCACTCTCTGTCTTCTTCATCTTCGTACCGTTTCTATCCTTGTTGGATTGAGAGAGTTCAGACATGAAAGATCCAGCGACGCTTCTCGCATCCTCGTTTCCATCCTCAGACATTGAAGCCATACTAGGAGGATTACTAGCATTTTGACGAGAGAAGATTTCAGCAGGCATTTCAAAGCTGCCTTTGCTTGGACTTTTACTCATCATTTGAGCTTCCAAGGTTTGAAGCCTGTTTGATGTCTTAGCACAAAGGTTCCTCGACACTTGAAGCTCGCTATTACGCTTTGCCAAAGCTTCTTTCAGCATTTTAGTTTCTTCTTCCATTGCCACTAACCGCTCTGTCAACAAATCGTTTTCTTTATTGAACTTTTGCGTATTGTCAAGCGAGAACTCGGAAATCTGTGACATGTGTGACATTGGAGACATGAGAGGACTAGATGGTCTAGCCGGTGACCTTCTTTGTCGATTATCTCCTCCATAGTCTCTGCCTAAACTCTCAACCTCCATTTTCATCTGTGCAAGTGCTGCAGGACCAGGGAGTTTCTTTCTCACAAGAGTCCGTAATCTTTGGCATTCGGCTTCCAACTTTGCGATTTTCTTGACGCCTTCTAAATGCTGCTTGTTTGCTGCTTCTGCAGATCTCATACTCATATTCTTTTCCTCGTTACGGATTTCCAGCTCTTTGGTAATCACATGTGTTTCATACTTGAGAGTATTAATCTCCCGCTCACAAGACTCTATATTGTTCTTAAGATGCTCAATCTCAGACTCTGCTTGGGATTTCTCTTCGCTTATCCTCACAAGCATGTTAGACCGCTCTTGCAATGACCTCGAGAGGGCGTCGTTTTCAGCTGCAGACCGGAGTAGTTCTTGCTCGAATTCCCCAATCCTAGACTCAAATTCAGCTTTGAGCTTATCCATTTGGTTGGTTTTAGTAGCAATAACATCGCGCAGCTTCTGTTCGTTTTCTTCCTTTAAACTCCGTATCTGCCTCATACATTCCTTAAGAGCACCGTCCAAATGCGCTGCACGGTCTTCAACCGTGAGCTTGGCGAGAGTAACAGTTTCGAGATGCGTTTTCAAAGCCGAAGCCTCTGCTTCAGCTTTTTCCCAACCTGAATAACAATCAATCAATCAATAAAAAAAAACATGTTAATCAGAAGAAAAATTCGCATGCGAAATTCGTTTATTTCACCGTATTCATACCAGTGACAGCTTCTTCAGCGACTTTGGAGTGTTGTTTGACAAGAACCTCTTTGGCTGTAATATCTGCATTAGCAGTAGATAGCTTCAAATCCAAATCCTTGATCTGATCTTCAAGCTTTGAAACTGTTTCCTCGTAGTTTTTGACTTCGTCTTTTAAACCATTTAGATGAGAGTATTGATCAAAGGAGATCTGTATATAGCTTGGCTTCTTATCACCATTCTG